TTCCAACCTCCCCGAAAACCACTGAGCGCAGGGTACCGCCCATCTGGCTCTGCAGGCAAACTCTCGCCACCCTGGGGCTGGCAAGTCGGGCATCGGGAAGGGATCGGACGCTGGAACACTGACCCTTTATTTAACGCTACCGCCCCCGCATGACCTGTGCGGGCTGAGAGGGAATTTCTCCCATCCCCACATTCGCCTGCAGCGTTGCATAGACAACGGATTAACACACGCTCCTATCGTAGGACTGGAAGGGACCTGGAGAGGTCACCTGGGCCAGGCTCCTGCATCCCCTTATATATGCCCCCTCCATCCAGGTCTTCATCCCCATCCCCACCTGTACAACACTGCCCCGGCGAGACAGGGCCCTGTATGTCACGCGTCTCCCCCAAACAAGTGCACAGGGCTTGTACCACCACCACCACCGGTGTGTGTGCACACGCGTGTGTGTGTCACTCGCACACGCACACACTTTGCCTCCAGCTCACTTAAGGCCGTTTGAGAGCGTCCCACCTAAAAACCACGGTGCAGCCACGCTAGGAAAGACATCACTCTTTTATTAAATATAAAGTGTCAGCAACATGCTGTACGTCACTTCTCAAAGGCTCCTGCGGGGAGCCCTGCTCAGAGTCCTGTGGTCCTTTTGAGACCTTTACATTGAAAAAACAAAAACCCACAACGACTTCGTTTTAAAGAAGGTGCATTGACGCAGGGGAGAAAGTATTTGAAGTCAGAGCCAGTATGAATTCGGGGACAGCTGGTTCGAAATACTAGCGCCTTATATACATTTGTTCTCACGAGTAGTTATTTCGCCCTCCCCCCCCCCAGCACCCCGCAAAAAAAAATCTGTAAAAGTGGGGAAACAGAAGCACCCAGAGAGGATCAGACCCACAAGCAGAACTCTGGAGTTGGGCTTCCCGTTCTAGACAGTGCAACTTCTTGTAGGGAGGCCAGCCCCTAAGGAAGTCAATGAGGGGGGCGGAAATAGAAGCTCGATTTCAGATGTCTGAGTGTAACTTGGAAGAGATACCCCCGCCTCCACCACAGGATCAGAACGGACTTCCCTGCCATATTCCCAGCGAATGCTAAGTGCATGGGCAACCCCGACAAGAACTGCCAGTAGCCCCATTCGGCTGGGCCCCCTGCCCCACATTTCAGCAGGCCTGGCCTATCATCTCAGGAGCTTAGTAACGCAGGCCAGTTGGAGACCTCAGAAACGGATCACACTAAGGCAGGGGTGGGCAAACGACAGCCCCTCAGGGCTTTGGAGCTGGCCCGCGGGATTGCCCCCCCGTGGAGGCGCAGGCCCTGCACTGCTCTCCAAAGCGCCGGGCACCACGCCCTGGGGGGGAGGGGCCAGGGGGCACCTAGGGATCCGTGCATTGCCCTTGCCTCCAGGCACCGCCCCCGCAGCTCCCATTGGCCGGGGACAAGGAACCGCAGCCAACGGGAGCTTCAGGGGAGGTACCTGGAGGCGTGGCAAGAGCAGCACATGGAGCCCTGTGCCCCCCCCCCCCCCCCCAGGGGCTGTGCAGGGACATGGTGCCGGCTGCTTCCCGGAGCGGCATGGCATGGGGCCAGGGCAGCCAGGCAGCCAGGGAGCTTCCACCCCAGAGCCGCTTTAGGTAAGTTGCGCCGGGCCAGATCCAGAACCCCTCTTGCACCCCACCCCCCAACTCCCTGCCCTGAGCCCCCTGCCTGCACTGTGCACCCCCAACCCCCTGCCCTGAGCCCCCTTCTGCACCCAACCCCCTGCCCTGAGCCCCCACCACACCCCACGCCCCTCCTGCACCCCAACCCCCTGCCCTGAGCTCCCTCCTGCACCCTAACCCCCTACCCTGAGCCCCCTCATACACTCCGCACCCCTCCTCTGCCCCAATCCCTTGCCCTGAGCCCATTTCTACACACCGCACCCCCTCCCACTCCCCACACTTCCTCCCGCACCCCAACCCCAGCCCTGCATACAATTTCCTCACCCAGATGAGGCCCTCAGCCCAGAAAGTTTGCCCTCCCCTGCGCTAAGGGAACCCCTCTGCTTTCCATGAGTCACAATGCAAAGGCGGCGAAGCTCACAGGAGACTACTCGGCCCCATGGCAAAGATCCCCAAAGGGGCAGGGCAGATTAGTCCCATGGTGTCAACTCAGTGGGCTGAAATGAAACCGGTCATCTCTAATGGGCCCTTGTGGTTAAAGGTACAGCATAAATACATTACATAAACTAGGGCTGACAAGCGATTAAAAAAAATTAATCGCGATTAATCGCGCTGGCAAACAATAATAGAATACTATTTATATAATTGTTTTTGGATGTCTTCCACATTTTCAAATATATTGATTTCAATTACAACACAGAATACAAAGTGTACAGTGCTCACTTCATATTTTGATTAAATATTTGCACTGTAAAAATAAAAAACAGTATTTTTCAATTCACCTCATACAAGCACTGTAGTGCAATCTCTTTATCATGAAAGTTGAACTTACAAAAGTAGAATTATGTACAAAAAATAACTGCATTCAAAAATAAAAATGTCAAACTTTAGAACCTACAAGTCCACCCAGTCCTACTTCTTGTTCAGCCAGTTTGTTTACATTTGCTGGAGATAATGCTGCTCGCTTCTTGTTTACAATGTTACCTGAAAGTGAGAACTGGCGTTTGCATGGCACTGTTGTAGCCGGCATCGCAAGATATTTACGGGCTAAAGATTCGTATGTCCCTTCATGCTTCAACCACCGTTCCAGAGGACGTGCATCCATGCTGATGATGGGTTCTGCTCGATAACAATCCAAAGTAGTGTGGACCAACACATGTTCATTTTCATCATCTGAATCAGATGCCACCAGCAGAAGGTTGGTTTTCTTTTTTGGTGGTTTGGGTTCTGTAGTTTCTGCATCAGAATGTTGCTCTTTTAAGATTTCTGAAAGCATGCTCCACACTCCATCCCGATCAGATTTTGGAAGGCACTTCAGATTCTTAAACCTTGGGTCGAGTGCTGTAGCTATCTTTAGAAATCTCACATTGGTACCTACTTTGTGTTTTGTCAAATCTGCAGTGAAAGTGTTCTTCAAATGAAGAACATGTGCTGGGTTGTCATCCAAGACTGTTAGAACATGAAATATATGGCAGAATGTGGGCAAAACACAGAGCAGGAGACATACAATTCTTCCCCAAGGAGTTCAGTCACACATTTAATTAACACTTTTAAAAAAAAAATTTTTAACAAGTGTCATCAGCATGGAAGCATGTCCTCTGGAATGGTAGCCAAAGCATAAAGGGGTATACGAACATTTAGCATATCTGGCATTTAAATACCTTGCAATGCCGGTTACAAAAATGCCATGCAAACATCTATTCTCACTTGCAGGTGACATTGTAAATAAGAAGTGGGCAGCATTACCTCCCGTAAAGATAAACAAACTTGTTTCTCTTCGCAAATGGCTGAGCAAGAAGTAGGACCGAGTGGACTTGTAGGCTCTAAAGTTTTGCATTGTTTTGTTTTTGAGTGCAGTTACGTAACAACAAAAATCTACATTTGTAAGTTACGCTTTCAGGATAGAGCTTGCAGGACAGTACTTGTCTGAGGTGAATTGAAAAATACTATTCTTTTGGTTATCCTTTGTACTGTGCAAATATTTGTAATAAAAATAATATAAAGTGAGCACTGTACACTTTGTATTCTGTGTTGTAATGAAATCAATATATTTGAAAATGTAGAAAACATCCAAAATATTTAATAAATTTCCATTGATATTGTATTGTTTAACGGTGCGAATAAACCTGCGATTAATTTTTTAAATCGCGATTAATTTTTTGGAGTTAATCGCATGAGTTAACGGCTATTAAAATCGACAGCCCTAAAATAAACGCAACAGAAATACATTCTTCCCCTATCTGGCTCCACGAATCCCGCTCGGATGGGCTCAGATTGCAGTTTCAAGCACAAATGCCCCCTTCCCCTCCCCACTAGGGACCTCCTCTATCCAGCCACATCACCGGAGAGATGGAAGATTTTGCCACTGGAACTTCACTGGCAGTTTTGCTCATGGTACGAGTCTCCAGCTTGGTGCGCCATAGCCCAGCAGGAGTCAATGCAGCTGAGAGTTGGAGGTCAGTAAAATAAGCAGATTTTTGGCAGAGGCATACCTGGAGCAGATAAAGGTGCCTGTTTTGGTCACTTTCAATGATCAGAAGTGCAGAGTGCTCAGGTTGTGGCTGCTGTACGGACCGATCCCGACAGCCATGATTCAAGACACCTGGAGCGAAGAAACCTCAGTCAATGTCTCCTCCGCGGAGGCTGCCGCTCACTCAGGAAAAGGGTCAGCGGAAGCTGCACGCAGCACTGATGTCCTCGAGCGGGTAACAGCTGGGACGTAAGCGGCTTGTGCTGCAAAGGGATGAATTTCACCCAGATACTAAAGTGCACAAGCCCTAGCAAAGTTGTATCCTTCCATTACAACTTGCCTGGCAATACTGTCTCTGGTTAAACCTTCAGGAGAAACGAGAGGTGGCAGGATCACAAACAGCGGACACGCAGGTTGGCTACGTTCTCGGAGTTTGCCTTGCACGGCAGACTCGTGCTGACCTCGAATAGGGGGGCTCCTTACTCCCAGCCCAGGAGCTTAGGGTCTCCCATTGGCTAGTGGGTAAATACAATGCATTAGGTAGTACTTAGGTGCCTTGATATTTCACGTGCTCCTTTGAAAGGGCACCGTATTTTCAGAGGGCGGGTGCTCAGCACTAACTGAGAGGCTCCTTTAAAAGGGGTCTCGAGTCAGGCCAATAAGATCGTTGCTCCCTTCCGAAAAATCTGGGTCTGGAGTTTAGTAGCCGTTCATGCCTTCCACTCTGTTTGGTCACAGTGCGTAGGGAATGGAATACTGGAGAGCTGGCCAAGACCTGGAGCAATGTTCTTCCCACCACATCTGCAAAGCAGGACATCAGCATGCGAATGCACAATGCACTGTGCGAGACACGTAGCTCAGGAGCAGGGGCAGCATGGAGCTGGAGTCCAAGCGAGCGCTAGCTTGCAGGGCTAGCCACGGCGTCAATGGCAGTTTCCTCTTCAGCCAGATTGTCCACACTCTCATCTGAGCCCAACTCCACGCTGGCCAGCGAGACCTGGTCCTGGCTGGGCTCGGCCGCTCCTGGTTTCCCCAGCACATTCCTGAGCTGTACCCAGAAGAAAGGCTGCCGGCTAGGCTCCGAAGGCCATTCCAGGTAAGTTTTGGTGCTCAGCATCTTCCGCAGCTTGCAGAACTTGTGAGGCAGGCTCTGAGGATCGATGGCCTCCTTCACCACCAGGATGACGTCCTCGTAGCCCAGCCCCACGGCCCGCTGGTGGGCGAAGTAGAGCTCGTAGTTGCACCACTCACTGTCGACGAAGTTGCGGGAGAGGACGAAGATGATCTTGTAGCTGCTCTCGATGTTCTCGATGATGTTGTCGATGATCCACTTGCCCGGTGTGAAGTCCCTCTCATGGATGCAGATGCGGTACGGGGGGCTGGAGCTCTCCAGCCGCTGGAGCAGCTCCTGCCTCACCCAGTCGGCGTCTGAGCAGCTGTAGGAGATGAAGGCGTGGTAGGTGTAGGCCCGAGTGGGGTGAGCGTGGCGGGCGCGGTACTTCGAACGGACGATGCGGTAGGTGGCTTGCAGATACCACAGCACGTCGAACCTCCAGCACAGCACCATGGTTGCAATGATCACAGCGGCCGTGACTGAGACAGAGATGGCCACCACCACCCTCACATCGCACTCCATCACCCCCGGGGTGTAGGCAGCCACGCCCACGTCCAGCAGGGACTCCGGATGGAAGCACGTCCAGCCCCCGGGCCAGTCCAGCAGGGTCAGCTTACCCTTCCTCTGAGTCTCCTGCAGGAAGCCGTAGAGGTCACAGGTGCAGTGATAGGGGTTGTTCCCGGCCTTGAGGCTGGTCAGCTCTGGCATGTTGACGAAGGAGCCCTTGCTGATGACACCAAAGGAGTTGCCATCCATGGCCAGTATTCGCAGGCTGGGGCATCTCCACTCTGAGGGAATGAACTTGATCTTGTTTCCACTCAGCTTCAGCTCCTGTAGGTCTTGGCAGCGGACAAAGTAGCTCATCTCCAGCCGGTCCAGCTCAGAGGAGGACAGGTCCAGGTAGTGAAGGGTGATGGGCAGGCACTTGAAGATCTCCATGGTAACAGTGTTGTGGTCCAGGGCCAGCCAGACCAGGCCAGGATTCCACTGGCACGCCGTCTCCTTCAGGCCCCCGATGCGGTTGTGGCTGGCGTTGATATGGGTCAGGCGAGGCCAATTGACCGTGAGCTTAGCCACTACGGACAGGCTGGTCAGCTCGTTTTTGGCCATGAGGAACCGCTCCAGCTTGGGCATGACGTCCTGGTAGTTGCAGCCCTGGTTGTAGATGTAGGCATCCCTCAATCGGTTGTTGGAGATGTCCAGGGTCACCACGTTGCGCATCTCGTCCCAGGTGTCGCAGGGCACGAAGTTGAAGTTGATGTTGAGAATGGAGAGGTTGGCCACGCCGCTGAACCAGGTGAAGGTCCAATCGAAACGCAGGACATCGGGGTTGCTGATGTCTTTCAGCAACAAGCTGTCCAGGGTCAGGTTGGCGATGCCTGCTTCCGAGCGGTTCCACTGGGAAGAGCGGGCGAAGTCAATGGCTATCAGGGAGAGGTCACGGATGCTGGACTTCTGGATGTTCAGCAGGGCCAGACGTAACAGGTTCTCGTTGAACTTGCCCCGGTAGAAGACCAGCTTGCTGGCTCGCACCTCGGCCAAGCCAGAGAAGAGATCTGTGGACTCAGTGTAGTAGTTGAACTCAAAGAGGTTGCGGAAGCGGAGGTACTGCAGCGGCTTACCCCTCAGGTCCCGCAGCATCATGGGCAAGGCCTGGGCATTTTTGTCCAGGGCTATGTCACACCACAGGGCTGTGGTATTGAGCACCGAGAATGCCCCTTCTTGATACTCCAGTAGGCTGGACGCTGTCTTCAGGGCAAACTTCTGCAAGGCTATATCCCTCAGCGGGAGGAAGTCCCACTTGCCGACCGTCTGGATCAGAGACCCACCCATGGAGAACTCCTGCAGGTTCCTCAGAGTGCTGAAGACCTCGTCCAGAGTTGAGCGGAGGTACAAGTTGTTGGACATGTCCAGCCGCCTCAGTTTCCTCAGAGGCTTCAGGGCCAGCGAGGGGATCCGGCGCAGGGAGTTGTTGAATAGGCTGAGTTCCTCCAGCTGGACGTTGGAGACGAAGGCATGTTCCACAATGTGCGAGATGACGTTGTAGCCCAGGTCCAAGCTCTGCAGCCGGGTCAGCGCTGAGAAGTCCCCTGCGGTGATCTCTTTGAGCTTGTTATACGAGAGATCCAGTCTGAGCAGGGTGCAGGGAAGATGCTGGGGAACGCGGTTCAGGTTCTGACCCTTGCAGGTGGCGATTTCATTGTTGGCAGAGACAAGGCACGGGTCAGCCCCGTCTGCCAGTCCCACGATCACCAGGCACAAAGCTACGCACATGCCAGCTAGTGGGCGCATGGTCTTCTCTTCACATGTTTGTTCGCCTGAAAGATTGAGAGAGTAGGACATCCTGTGAAATGCCCTCTAACGTTACTTTCAGAGACCTGTCCGCATGCTAACGTTCACCTGTAGAGCAGAGACCTCTACCACCCCACGGTACGCTCTGCACCACTGAATTACCAATGGTTCGTTTTGCAGATTGGACATTTACAGCAGCACAATCCCTAGCCCATTGAGACATCCAGTCCAGCATCCTGGAACAAGCCATTGGCCTGTAGTCCCACCCCCCAAGACCCCACCTCCTATCCGCCTGCCCTACCAGATCCAGCTATTAACCCACTTTATTCCCTCCACCTCCTTCCTGCCATGCAGGACAAGCCAATGATGCCTCTAGCCCCATCTCTTTGCTGCCTCAAAGACAGGTCCATCTAGTTCAATATCCCCCACCACCTAACATTCTCGATTAGATCACCGTGATCCCAGACAGAGGTTGGATATTGGCCACTCCCATCCGGCACTTCACTTCCCACAGTTCCATGGGGTCAGCGATCTTTGTGTTCATTTTACCCCCCGGCTAACAGATCTTGGCTCAACAATGGGAGAGAATGCCACTTACAGAGCAAGAGGTGCTGCCCCTCAGGTGACAGATGGGGAGCTAAGCACAGCGCTGCAGGGGGCAGCTGTCCCTTCCATGCCAGCCCCAGACAGTCCTAGATCAAGAGAGAAGCAGCATTTTACTGGATGCAAGTAGCAACACAAGATGAATCAACTGGGCTCACTAGCCACCCATTGTAGACATATAGGGTGACCAGATGTCCCGATTTTATAGCGAAAGTCCCGATTTTTGGGTCTTTTTCTTATATAGGCTCCTATTACCCCCAACCCGATTTTTCACATTTGCTGTCTGGTCACCCTATAGACACAGGTCGGGGAGACATGCTGTGTCTCAGACTGGCTTCTCGGACCAACCCCCACCCCCATCTTCTGTGCAATGCTAGAGGAACACGGCAGCCAGAGGGAGACTTTCAGAAAGTACAAATGGGAGGAAGATAAACCGCAAGGAAGCTGGGTCAATACCCGGATACTCGCAATGGGAAAAGCTTCCCACAGTATTCTATGTATATAAATCACCCCACTGTATTTTCCACTGAATGCATCCGATGAAGTGAGCTGTAGGATGAGGGGTTGGGGGTGCAGGAGGGCAAAAGCTTATGCTCAAATAAATGGGTTAGTCTCTAAGGTGCCACACGGACTCCTGTTCTTTTTGCGGATATGGACTAACACGGCTGCTACTATGAAACCACAGTATTCTGTGTCCCCTGCCGCTCAGTCACATGGGAAGAGGCTATGCCAGCGTGAAAAGCACGGCTTCTCCATCACTCAGGACGGACGCGTCTTCACTGCAACGGATAGCAGGCGTTCGTCCACTTGAGCTAGCCTAGCTCAGGGCAGAATGCTTCCCATTCGAGCTACACAACGAATCCTGCATCTGGGCAGGGGTTAGGGTCCCTTCTAACCCCATGGTTCTCCAGTTCTACAATTCAAGCTGCCACAACCCCCCCTGCATTCGTCACTTGAGCGCCAACCTCCTCGCTCCTCCCACGCCAGCCCGTGGGCCACCAAGCTCAAATCTAAAGCACAACTCAAGTGAGTGATTTGTGTGGGAGTGGGAGTCGGGTTAGGGCCAACCTCCAGTTATAGCTCAAACCGACAACGCACTGAAGACAAACCCTTGGCGTCTTTACAGCGAGACGGGATGTCTCTAGGAGACCCGCTCGAATGGATCCAGAAGTGGGTGTTTGATTGGAACAGGTTGAAGTGTTTCGTTCAAGACTTGTTTTGGCAAAAGATGGGTTTTCCAAGAGCGATGGGAAACTGAGTAGTCAACACTTCCCCTCCCCACCCACACGCACCCCCGACCTTGAAAACTTCAGGTTGACCACCGACATTTTGGCCAAAAACATGGCTTTTTTTTTTTTTTAATTAAAACTCAAAATCTGGTCAAGAAGAACTGACTGAAAACAAAGTTAAAGATTTCCTGACCATCTGCAGGTTCACAATCACAGGTGAGATTTCCTGGTCTGCACTATGTGGGAGGTCAAGCTACAGAACCATATACCGATCCTCTCTGGCCTTGAAATCCAGCTGCCCTTTGTGCTTTTACAAGTCTGGAGAGAGCGTTCACCTTAGGATTTCTATTGCAACTTTCTTCCCAGAGGACGGCAAGTTGTAAGCAGTCTCAGAGAGCCCAGCATATTGAAGCATTAACTATGGGTTATTCCTGAATAACTCCATGCGCTGAGTCTTATTCCAGAATAAGTGTTTTATCCCTGTTTAGCTAAACCCAGAGATTAAGATAAACAGGAACAAGGCACTCTTGTTCCGGAATAGGAGTATCCGGCACCTTGCACTCTTCAGGAACAGCTGTACCATGTGTACACAAGCCCTTAAACCACCACTGAAATGCAGCAACCTCTGAAGTGGAACGAGAAGGGGAAAAAAACAGCTACAGAAATCGCCTGTGTAATTGTCCAAGCTTGCCCTTCTCCTGTATCCTCATCTACCCTACTGTTTGTTCTACACTTGGTACATGCTTTTAAAGCAAGGGTGGGCAAACTACAGCCCGCCTCCGACTCTCCAGACATTTTAATCCGGCCCTCGAGCTCCCGGCGGGGAGCAGGGTTGGGGGCTTGCCCCACTCTCCACAGCTCCCAGAAGCAGCGGCATGTCCCCCCTCCAGCTCCTACATGTAGGGGCAGCCAGGGGGCTCCGCATGCTGTCCCCACCAAGAGCCGCCCTCACAGCTCCCATTGGCTGACAACCACAGTCAATGGGAGCTGCGGGGGTGGCGCTTGCAGACAGGGCACTGTGGAGAACCACCTGGCCATGCCTTTGCATAGGAGCTGGAAAGGGGACATGCCGCTGCTTCCGGGAGCTGCTTGAGATAAGCACCGCCCGGAGCCTGCACCCCTGAACCCCTCCCGTGCCCCAACCCCCTGCCCCAGCCCTGATCCCCCTCCTGCCCTCTGAACCCCTCAGTCCCAGCCTGGAGCACCCTCCTGCACCCCCAACCCCTCATCCTCAGCCCCACCCCAGAGCCCATACCCCCCAGCCGGAGCCCTCACCCCCGCCCACACCCCAACCCCAGTTTTGTGAGCATTCACAGCCCGCCATGCAATTTCCATACCCAAACGTGGTCCTCGGGCCAAAAAGTTTTCCCACCCGTTTTAGAGGGTAAGCAGTTTGCGGCAGGGATGAGCCACGTGCTAGCTACTGTACATATACATTGGGGTCCCTCCCAAAATCCTGATAGCATCCCAGTGCCCCTAGTCATAATATCAGGTAGCTTTACGTCAACTTCAGTTTTCTTAATTTAGATTGCAACGCTGTTCACACCATTACAGTACATTACGCGGGGCAGCGATGCTCCCCAGATGCAGATTTCTTCGGTGTCTTTCTTCACGGTCTTACAGTGCTGCCATAAAACACTTGGACCAAGTTGTAACATCCATCATCATGTCTGGTTTCACATTGGGGGAGGGGTAGCTCAGTGGTTTGAGCAGTGGCCTGCTAAACCCAGGGTTGGGAGCTCAATCCTTGAGGAGGCCATTTAGGGATCTGGGGCAAAAATTGGGGATTGGTCCTGCTTTGAGCAGGGGGCTGGACTAGATACCTACTGAGGTCCCTTCCAACCCGGATAGTCTATGATTCTATGACTAGTTCAGAGTGCCCTGGCTAAAATCCAACACCAATAACTCTAGTAAGCCCATAAAGCTTTCTGGAGTCGTCGGAAATGAAAGCCACTCGACACATTGATGTTATTAATGAAAAACTGCCCAGGAAGCATTCACTTCAATTAGATTCAACTTTCAGACCTCAAACCCTCCGGTGCCTTTCTAAAACGAGTCCCTCCCCCATGTGATTTTTTTTAAAAAAAAATCAAACCAAAAACACCAGCCTGGTCTGCATAAAGTAGACACTTTTTTGCTAAAGCTATTTAGTCAAACCCCCAGTTTCTTGGGGGGCAGGAAATGGAAGCAGTTGAGATGGAAAATTATTATTGGCATCAGTATTTCCATATCACAAGTGTTACCTGACCAGGAGACGTTTCACCACCGCTCTCAAGCTTTGTGGTTGCAATTTTGGTTGATTAGATCATTACAGGACAGTTGAGGAGTCTAGTAAACATGTATAAATGGTCTAGAAAGGCCATTTAATAGGGAACGTGATTTCAGTTGCCAGCTATGCCAGCGGATGCCATGGTTTTAGGAGAACCGAGATTGGCTCCCCAGGGGAGACAGGAAAGGAAACGCAGATGACTAATATGATGCTGCGGGGCAGGCCCCATTTAGCACCAGACTGGAGGCAAGATGACCCATGCACTGGGGGTCAGGAGACAGGCGTCTATTCCCAGCTCTGACACCTGGGGCAAGTCGCTGCCTCCTGCCTCAGTTTCCCCATCTCTAAGGCAAGGGGTAAGACGACTCACCTTTGCAACGCGCGTTGCGGTCTCTGGAGCAAAGCACCACCAGAGGTCTGGGCTTGTTTGGTTTTTTAATATAGTTCACTTTTAGAAAGGTGGCGTAGGCAGGGATCTTCTATCGGCAGGGAGCTGGCCGGAATAATCCCCCCCCGCCACTTGCCCGGTTTCCAAGGCACCTTTGTCTCCTGCAGTCACGATCCAGTGGGAACAGCCAATGCGGCGTGGAAGACAGGAACAGGCGCTGGCATGTAAACGCTTTTCCGCCGTGCCCCCCCCCGCCCCCCACTTCATCTCCAGTGGCTGGGGCCCGGGGCGCACACGCCAGCTCCCCCTTCAGCAACTCCAGGGCGCTGCCAAAGCCCGCGATGAGCCCCCATTGCGGTTCCCACGCCGAGACCAGAATCCGTCAAGGGGGATGGTCCAGAAACCCCCCCCCCCCCGCAGCTGAAACCCCGGGTGACTGCAGCGGGCAGGGCGAAGGGGCGCACCCGGCCGGCCCCCCCCCTGGTCCTAGGGGATCACACAGGGCTGGGGGGACTTTACTTGGGTCCTTCTTTGGGTACGAAGAGGCAGCTTCTCCTGCAGCCCCCCCATGCAGTCCGGGGGGCTTTGCTGATCTATTTCACCCCTCGGCTAGGTCCCGGGGGGCCACCAGCCGGGGCTCCCCTCTGGCCCCAGCGCGCCACCCATCCTGCCCGGGTCGGCCTCGGAGCGACTTGAGCTGGGCTTTGGAGGAAGCTGATTTCTAGGCTCGGCAGGGTGGGGCGCCACCTCCCTCTTAAAGAGACAGCGCGCCTCAAGGATTTGTTTTCTCTTCCCTTCTCCCAGACCCTCCCCCCACCCCCACCCCCAAACCAAACAGGGAATTAACCACCCTGGCTGCAAACCGGCTGATATTTCAAGACCATAAAAGCACCAATAACATGCCAGGTTAGCGGTCTGGATTGCAGTAGCTCCTAAGGGCCCTGGTCGTGGGATCAGGGCCCCACTGCGCTAGGTGCTGTACAGAGAGGAGCTTGGGAGGGAAATAGGGAGGCCAGAGGGGATCAGGCACAGAGAGGGGAGGTGCTCTCCTGTGTCCCAGCTCTGTGCACTCGCTAGGTCATTTCCCTTACCCACTTACAAGAGAGAGATTAGGGTGTATTTTTGGCCCACTAAATCACTGGATTAATGGCCCAGTATCCCCTCTCTCCAGCGCTTGCTGCTTCAAAAGAAGGAGGAAGATCCCAATCCCACCTGTCCCCAAGGAAGTTTCTTCCTAGCCCCCTGGCCCCCTGCCAGTTAGTGGTTAGCTCATGCCCAGGAGCATGGGGGGGTTGCAGCTGGCACAGGGCAATTGACCCCTTTCAGGGGAGATGGACCCAGCCCAGGTGAGGCTGTGGGGCTGGCCTGTCAGGTTGGGGTGGCATCGATCCTTTTGTGAGCAGGTGAGCCAGTCCAGCCCTGCAGCTCACAGTAAGCTTTGTTAAAAAGGGTATCCCTCTAATGATTGCGGAGGGAGGGGGGATTGTTGTCATATGTTTATATGGATAATCCTTTAAGTCTCCTAAAGTCCTGGGCTTTACCATATCCTGCAGCAGGGCATTCCACAGATGAATTATGCACTGCGCAAACTAATTCCTTTTCATCCAGAGCCCTCAGTAAAACACTCTGGGCTCTATTGCTGGAGAGTGCTCTGTTAAGAGCTGGGTGTTATGACTTCTCTTGTGAGCTCGACAGAGCAGGTTCTGTCTCTCTGCTCCCTGTTGGCACAGCACCTGGCACTGAGGGGCATGGTCCGTGACACCACCACAGTCCAAATAAAAAATCCCTGCGTAAATTGTTCCAATGGCCAATTACACTCCCTGTTGAAAATCTGCATAGCGAAGGGGCAGTGAGCTCAGAGCTAAGAGGCTGCAAAACCTATACTCCGCAACAGAGGCCATAAAGAACTGTTTACCCAGAGTTGGATGGAGAGCCCAGGATGGGACAGAAACCATAATAGCCATAAGGATTTTGCAGGAAGCCGTCTCCTCTCTCAGCAAGAACAAACAAATGTCTTCATTACCGGAAGCGAGACTGCCAAGCAGCAGCCAATAGCTGCTGTCAAAAAACTATGTAGGCAGCGAATGCCTGCTGGATTCACCCCGGGCCCTTTCCATGTATAAATGCCCGACATTCCTTACCTGCACTGTGGCGTGACAGATGACGATGCCCTGCACCCAACCCTTATTTGGACCAACTGTTTCAGCTTGCCCAGACCAAGGTCTCAGCTCTGCCAGCTGGAGCCCCTGGTCTCTTGTTTAACTGAGCATGCACGAGCCTGCTGTAAAGTTTATGCTGTTCTGAACCCACCTTGCCATAACAGACATCCTGGGAAACTGGGCCTTCCAGCCCAAAATCCAGAGGGCTCCCTACTGTCCCATATGGTCATCAGCCGCTGCTGAGATTGCTAGGCAGTGCCCAGCTTTTTGATGCACAAGGGGAGGGAGAGGTTCAGAGCAAACAGAGATAAATCTGTCCCTCGCAGGTGTATTTAACGTTACTTCCCAGGCTGAGTCAGCCCCCAAAAGCAGCCTCAGCAAGGTCTAATTATAGCCAGTTAAGGGTTAAACCAATGGTGCATGTCAGCCAGGACTGGTCAGTGGCCTATATGGAATGAGTGTGGCAGGACTCATCCTGGTCACCCACGGCACACAAACCCCAACACTAGGAGTGGCACCAATTGGCTTTCCTTGTGGCCAGTGCCAGCAGAGGCCAAGGACTGGATGGGCCACAGAGGCCAAGCCACTCCCTTCTCCAGGGCAAGGGCACGTCCCATCAGTGGAAGCTTGCTGCAATCCAGCTGTATCTGTTGCCACACCTTGTGGCACCCTGAGCCATGAACTGGGCCGGCACATCCCACCTAGCACAAAGATCCAGCTAGCAACTGAAGCTGGAGAGATTCGGACTAGAAATGATGCCCCGTTTTAATTGCTAACCCTTGGAAGAGCTAACCTGGGGGTTTGGGGGACACTCGCCAACACTGGAAATCTTTAAATCAAGACCGGATGTCTTTAAGAGACACGCTTGAGTCCAATCAGCCATTATGGCTGGATGCAGGAGTTGCAGTATGACATTCTCTGGCCTGAGCTATACAGGGGGTCAGACATTGGGCTTGTCTACACTTGGAAATTAACCAAAATAGCTATTCTGGAGTAGTGATCAGCTCCCGCATGGACCCTTGCTCCAGAGTAAATTCACATAGGGGCTTATACCAGAATAGTACCGTACTCCTCTTCTCATAAATTTCCCAGGGCAGATGAGCCCTAGGTTGTCAGAATGGTCCCGTCTGGCGTTACAATCTATGAATCTGAGAGGGAGAGGATGAGGCTAGAAGAGATTTCCAGAAGAGAAACTCTCATTGTTGACTTGCTTGGCTGGAGGTCAAGCCTTCCTTTCCTTTATCTTTACCAGCCAGGAAATCTGTCCTTAGCCTGGATTTATGCTGCATGGTTTCTAGATAAGGCAGCCCCGCAAACATTCCTGAGCAAGTAAATCATGAGTGGGTGTATGTGTGTGTCCGTCCCACCTCAACCACAGCAGCTTAGATACTTACAGCTAACGTATCCCTTTAGCTTGTGCTGTTAGGGCTTGGTTTTTGAGGGTGTTTAGCTACCTAATGCTGCAGATGGGCACCTGGGCACCCGACTCCCACTGAAATCTCACTAGGTGCCTGAAGAACTTCTAAAATCCAGCCCTTGGTGCTGACGGTCCTTTTTTGATCCCCGCTGTCGACTAGAGCGTGCACACATGTTAAAATGGTCATGATTTGTTGGCAATTCTTGCCCAGCTAAATAGAGCAGCCAGGCCGTAACTGGCATCCTCCCCTAGGGAAAGAGAAAAGGGTGAGGATTAGCTCTCTCCTGGAGGACCGTAAACATTTAAGACAGCAATTTAGTTGAGTCTCTTCAAACTCCAGCCAGGGTAGGACACAGCCGCGGGCAGAGGGCAACCGTCAGAGGGTTGGTTCCAGTTTCTCCTGGCTGCCCCACAAGCTAGTTTCTGGTGTGTTAGGCACAGAAATCCCCACCACACTGGGTAAAGCATTGCAGTGAGAAAGTGTTTTGGTTACAGATGGGACTCCAGACTTGGACAACCTGTGGGGAAGTTCAGAGCCAGAGCCTTGGACTCCTCTCTGGTGCCACACACCAGTCGTGGGGGACAGGACATTGGCTCATCTTGCTAGTGAGAAGCTGTTTCTGCCACTAGACAAACTTCCATAAAGTAGCAGGGCTTTTGTTTTGTTTTGTTTTGTTTTGTTTTTGGACACGCTCAGCACCCAGAGAGACTGCGGGACTGCCCCAGGGAGCTGTTGGGAGCCATTCCCGCATTCCCAGTGTCATATCTAATAAATACTGCAGCTCACAACAGCCACTGTCTTGTCTCTTGGTGCTGGCAGAAGTGACTAATTGAGAGCAGATGAGGGGAAGGAGGAGTTCTGAGGAGAACAACAGGCTTTGTATAACTCATCATTCACAAAAATTCTTCAATGCTCACCCGCCTCCAAAAGCCAAGATATATGAATAACATCTATCTCCTGGGGAGGTTTGTCCAATGCAATTCACACACACACATACACACACAAAATTCTGTTCCCAGCACTGTCACCAACTAGCTGTGTGCCCTTGATCAAGTTGTGTCACCTCCCTGACTCAGTTTTCCCACCTGCTAAAATGGGGATGTCACAATTTTGGGTTTCATCCAAAGCCTTCAGCCTCCAAGGTTCATCCAGTCTAGTTACTCCCTTATCTTGGTTGGGTTTCACTATTGCAGAGGTATTTCAAAAAACAAAGACACGCAAGACCGAAGATAAACTACTCTACAGAGTGGAGATACTAACCTGGCAATAATTAACTTGTGGAACAGCCAGAATGTTCTTAAAGTTTATTTGCTGTCTCTCCAGAAAATATGCCATTGTGCTTTGATCTCTGCGATCAATCCAGGCCACTGCAAGGGTGAAAATGGGCCAGGTCTAGGATAAACACATCATTTTCCAATGGGCTTGCATTTACCGGATTTTTTCCATACCACACAGAAGAAGAAAGTCAACACTAAGCTGTTTGAAGGTATAATGAAACTATTGATCTGTGCACATGGCTGGACCAGGTAACCATGAGATCTCATTTCTATAACCCTCGTCTGTTTCAGTTCCACCCACTCCATGCTGGACATCCCATCCCCGCCACCTCAATCACCTCATGCCTCTGATTGACTGAGCGCTCTTACAGGCAGGAACCGTGTTGTCCTGTCCTGTTCTGTGCTCAGCTGTAGCGAGATCATGGGAAAATTGAAGGGGGAGCCTTGCAACTGTAATGCACCAACCCCCGCTCACTATCATAACGAAGGGATCAGAGAGTAATCGCTGAACATCTAGGAAAGAGAGGAAGAGTCACCAGTCCGATATCCCACCTCCGACGCTGCCTCGAGGCCCCAGCCACAAGTGGGTGCTGCACACAGACAGTTCATGGCTCAGCTCAGGGATTTTACAACCCACAGAGAGAGGGTGGAAGGGGAAAGCCGGGATTTGCCCAGGAATGGAACCAGGTCTGACTCCTAATCCACTGCCCTTCTCCGTCCCGCCCAGGAAAGGGACTGATGTTTTCAAAGGGCAGGTCAGAGTCCTGCCCTGACCCATCTACACCCCCATTGCCCAGTAAACCCCCTAACGGGGTTTGACAATAAGACAATCTTGACAATAAGACACA